CTCTGTACCAATGTACTATTAATACTAAAGCTAATTTCAATAAAAACATAATAAATCTATCCAATCTCAGTTGGTTTTGATCACACAAGATTTCTACAGACTTTTATTTTNTCCTAAATAATCTAAAGACCTAATAAAGACACAGAATCTGTTTCTCACTCTCCCCACTCCCCACTTTTTTTCTAGTTTACTAAAAAGGTAAACAAAAATCATTTACTGTCTCTTATCAATGCTACATGGAAATCTTATTTAAAAGAGAAAATCATTTGCACTCTGTACCAATGTACTATTAATACTAAAGCTAATTTCAATAAAAACATAATAAAACTATCCAATCTCAGTTGGTTTTGATCACACAAGATTTCTACAGACTTTTTTTTTATTTTTTATTTTTTCCTTTTTGTCTTTTTTCGTGTCCGGCAATGGATCGCAACCCTCGGTGTCGCGCCCGCACCTCACTCAGCCAGTGAGCGGGAACCGGTCTGTATGTGGGATCCGAACCCTCGGCAGGAGCGCCGCTGCACTCCCAAGCGGCGCACTATAGCAGTGCACCACCGGGCAGGCCCTCTACAGACTTTTTATAACCCCTTACAAAACTTTAAAAACTGTATCCATTTAGTTCTATCACCTATAACATTTTTCTATTCTTTTAACTTGAAATACTCTTTAAATACCCTTTAAACTAGACAGATTTTTTCTTTAACAAAAACCACACCACGTCTTTATGCTCTTTTATAAGCTTTTTTACCCACCACGATCACCTGGCTGGTTTGTTAAAACAGAGTGCTGGGCCCCACCCCCAGAGTTTCTGATTCAGTAGGTCAGGGTGGGGCCTGAACATTTGCGTTTCTAACCTGTGCCCGGATACCACTTCTGGAATGGTACATTGAGAATCAAAGCACCACATCATATTTTCTTTGTCTTTTCTTTCTTTTTCCTAGAGTACATGCTCAAGTAATATTTTTCAGCAAGAGTGCATGGGAGGTAAGCTTTATTAGTTCTTACAAATCTTTTTTGTCCCTACACTTATTTTGTAGTTTGGCTTTTTGGAAACATTTTCACTCAGAACTTTGTAGGCCATTGTTTCATAGCTTCTAGCTTCAGGGAAGCCCAAGGCCAATTTGACCTTTTATTTTCTTATAGATAATGTTTGTTTGCTTTTAATTTTCAGCAGCTGTTAGACTTTCTGAAACCTCATATATCTGTAGATTTGCCTTTTGTTTTCTTTGATTCTGCTCAGTTTTCAATGGGCACTTTTAATCTGGACACACATCATTTTTTGGTTGCTCTGGGAAATTTTCTTTTATTATATCTCTGATCATCTTCTTGCCTCTGTTTTCTTTTCTCTCTCTGGAATCCTTATTAGACAGCTATCCAGGCCTCTGAATTGATCCTTTTGACTTGATTTTTTTCTCCCCCATTTAAAAGAAATTCCTTTTTGTCTCTATGCTCTTAGAGAATTATATGATTTTTGCTTCTAGACCTTTAAAGTAACTTTTTAATTTTGGAACAATTTTAGATTTACAGAAAAGTTGCAAAGATAATGTACAAAGTTCCTGTGTACCCTTCACTCAGTTTCCTCCTATGTTAGCATATTACATAACCATGGTCCACCAAAACTAAGAAATTAACACTTGTACATTACTATTAATTACAGATTTTATTTAGATTTCAACAGTTTTTTCCACTCATGTCCCTTTTCCATTCCAGGACCCAATCCAGTATGCCACACTGTATTTAGTCCTCTTGTCTCCATAGTTTCCTTTGTGACAGTTTTCTCAGTTTTTCCTTGTTTTTGTTTTTTAATCACTTTGACAGTTTTGAAGAGCACTAGTCAGGTATTTTGTAGAATGTCCCTCAATTTGGAATTTTTCTCATGATTAGACTGAGAGGATTAGGTGTTTTGGGGGAGAATACCACAAAGATGGAGCGGCCAGCTCATCACATGATATCAGCTGGTGGTGGCAGCCTCGATCGCTTGATTAAAGCGGTGTTTGTCAGATTTCTCCACTTTAAGGTCACTGCTTTTTTCCCTTCCCATACTCTGTTCTTTGGAAGTGAGTCACTAAGTCCAGCACACATTCAAGGGAGGAGGGTCAACTAAGTTCCATCTGGAGTGGAGAGCATCTGCATGTATTACCTGGTGTTCTTCTGTAAGGAAATTCATCTCTTTACCCCACGTATTTATTTATCCAACCATTTATTTAGTTCGGTATGAACTCATGTTTACTTATTTTATCTTCTGGTTGTGATCCAATATGACATTGTTTATTTTGTTGCTCAAATTGTTGCAGCTTTGACTGTTGGGAGCTCTTTCAGGTTGACAGGCCTTGTCCTTTTCTTTTTTCAGCACTTCCTTACTTTCTGGCACTAGCTTCTGGACTTTTTAATTATATGTTTATTTGGGCAATCGTATTTTTTATTTCCCAAAACTCTCTCATGTTTTCTGATTGATCCATTTTGTTAGCAGTTCCTTCTTGTTTTCCTGGATCCAATATAATCTCAAATTAGAATTCATTTCTAATCATACTATTGAAAATGCTCTTTACTAGATTTAAATGATCAGAATTACTCTCTAGATAAAGCATGGGAGACATAAGTATAGTTACAGAACATATGTAAATATTATAACTCTTGGCAATGTAATAGTATTACGGCCAGAATCACAAGTTTGGGTGGATGAGAGATCAAACCATGTACAGGTGCTAATTTCTTCATTTTACAGAGTAGAAATCAAGAGATACTGTCTAAAGTGGATATAATTGGATATAAAGATTTCTCATTTTTGGTGGCTGGCTGAGAAGGGGATCTGAACCTGTGACTTGGTGTTAAAAGGTTGTGCTCTAACCGACTGAGCTAACCAGCCAGCCAGAAATAAAGGTTTTAAGCGATTATTAATCAATAGAAGAACAAACTAACACTATAACTAACAGAATGTAGAAGGGATTGGGAAATGAACATTAGCGTGAGTGAACAAATGTCATTTTTAAAAATGAGAGTCAATAAATATTAATTCAGTTGATGAATCAAGAAATTGAGATATACACATATTAATCAGATTTGTGGTACAAGTCACCACAGCTAAAAGCAGAAAAGGTAAAACTGATTTCCTTTAAAGAGGGGCGTAGGGCAGGGTGGTATGGGACTTTGACTTTTCCCTTACTAATGTTCTGTATTGAAACATTTAAAAAAACAAAGATGGGGCCGGCCCGGTGGCACACTGCTACAGTGCACCGCTTGGGAGCGCAGCGTCGCTCCCGCCGAGGGTTCGGATCCCACATACAGACCGGCCGCTCACTGGCTGAGCAAGGTGCGGGTGCGACACCGAGGGTTGGGAGCCCGTTGCCGGTCCCGGTCGGGTACGGGTGCAACACTGAGGGGTGCGATCCGTTGCCGGTCACGAAAAAAGACAAAAAGGAAAAAAAAATAATAATAAAAAAAAATAAAAAAACAAAGATGGGGCCGGCCCGGTGGCACACTGCTACAGCGCACCGCTTGGGAGCGCAGCGTCGCTCCCGCCGAGGGTTCGGATCCCACATACAGACCGGCCGCTCACTGGCTGAGCAAGGTGCGGGTGCGACACCGAGGGTTGGGAGCCCGTTGCCGGTCCCGGTCGGGTACGGGTGCAACACTGAGGGTTGCGATCCGTTGCCGGTCACGAAAAAAGACAAAAAGGAAAAAAAAATAATAATAAAAAAAAATAAAAAAACAAAGATGTATTACTTTTATAAAAATAGTTAAAATTATATAAATGTCAAATGTAGAATCATGCTGGTGCTTGACAGAATGTGCAGGTGGGCAGGGATATGGCAGGGACATATGGGGCAGGAAAGGCGTCTCCCTACTTTGAAGAGGTGCAGTGTGTGCAGGAAGGAGAGGCTGAAGCTGCAGAGAACATCCCACCTTGGGTTAAGGGGTTCCCAGAGGCGAGGGCCCTTTTCCCTGCTCCTTCAGCATGTTCATTCATCCAGCATCTTACCTAGCACTTGCTTAGCTTCAGGCCCTGCTTTGGGGCTGAGGATATAAAGCTGTCTTTGCCCTCGACATTTAAACCAATTGTTACAGAAAGACTGCTGACCCTAGAGTTGACACTCCCCACCAAAGGAAGGATATAGTCCATCTGCACTTTCCTTTTCAAATGAAGGAGGTTGGAGGATTCTCAGGAGGTATGGTGACCAACCATCCCAGTTTGCTCGTAACTGTCCTAGTTTTAAAACTCAAAGTCCTGCATCTCAGGAAATCCCTGCATTCTGGGCAAACATGTGCAGTTGCATTCTGGTCACCCTTCCATGGGGGCAATTCTAGCCCAGGCTCTCAGTCCTGGTTCTGTTAGAGGAGGCTGAGAACCCACAGCTTGTGAGTGTCACCTCTAGAGCCCCTAGCATAACCTGCTTTCTGAATTTTAGAGTGTCTGCAGTAGTGGAGGTGGGGGGCTGCAGATCAGGGAGCTGGTAATGCTGATTTCTGGATGGCTAAGGTGAAGGAAAGAGGACTCTAAGGAAGGGAACTAGAAGGAGTGGGATAGGGTAGAATAAGGCAGGGTGGTTTCTCTGCCTCCAGATTATCATGGCTGGTGTCATACAGTTTGGCTCTTGGAGGGGACCAGATTGTTACGCCCACCCCACTCCTTAAAATGCATTTATTTAATAAACATTTATTGATCACCTACTATATACTATGCTCTGATTATTGGGTCACATTACACTTATTCATTAATTCAGCCTTGTTCTAGGTTCTGGGATGCTGCAAGGAACCAAGCAGATACAGATACAGGTACAGATAGAAAGCTTAAAATCCAGAGGGAATGCGGACAATTGACTGTATTTTTGCGGGCCTATTTCCATTCCATTCATCTATTTGTCTGTCCTTACACTAGCACCATTCATTCTGTCTTTATAATTGTAGCTCAATAGTAAATTTTAAAATCAGGTAGTAGGTGTCTGTTCCTGGGACCAAGTTCTGCCATCCTTCCTCCAGAAATAAAAAACTTGAGAGTCTGATGTTGATGCAAGGTTTGGAAGCTTTACTATCAGACACCTGAGGGGACAGCCTGCCTAAAACTGCATCAAGGGCTCAGGAGACTCAGCAAGGCTTTTCAAAGGGAAGAGTGTGGGAAACAAGGGGGGAGGTCATTCCTGTTGGGGAGCTGCTACGTGCAATCTTGCAGACTCCAGGCATTTATCTCATGGTCAGTCTTGGAACTCTTCAACTCGTTCTTGGGATGTGGGCGTTATCTGGTTCTCACAAGCTGGATGCCGTCTTGTTCCTGGACTGCTGTGACTGCAAAGGAAGAATGGTTAATTCTGCAAGTTACTTATTAGCTCTTATTATCTTGCTTTTTCCAAGCACTAAGTTCTTCAGCATTTTCTCATGAGCTATGCTGTTAGCCAAGGTTACAAAAAACTTCTTTATGGCTAGCATTCTGCTTGAAGCTGTATTCTACAAAAATGGCTCTTCAAAAAATGGCTGTCTATGACTATTTGCTGTGATCGGCTCTTACATGTCTTCCAACTTTTTTTGTTGTTTTTTTCCCAAAATTGATTTGGCTATTTCCATATAAAATTTCCAAATACATGTCTACAAAATAGCTTATTGTATTGGATTTAGAGATCAGTTTTGGGAAAATAACAGCTTAATATTGAGTCTCCTAAACCATGAACTTGGTATATGTCTTCATTTATTTAGATCTCCTTTGATTTCTCTCAACAGTGTTTTATGATTTTTGATGTAAAGGTAGAGGTCTTGCATGTGTTTTGCTAAATTTATTCTTAAGTATTTTATGGTTTTTTTTGGCAGCTGGCCAGTGCAGGAATCTGAGCCCTTGACCTTGGCGTTACTTATATTTTTTGATGCTAGCATAAATAGAATTTTTTATTTCATTTTCATTTCTTTCCTTTTAGTTTATAGAAACACAATTGATTTTTGCATATGACTTCATTTATTAATTCTAGTGTTTTTTTCATGTTTCTTAGTATTTTCTGTGTAAATAATCATGCCATTTTCTTCTTTCTTCCTAATCTTTGTGCCTTTTATTTCTTTTTATTCCTCATTGCAATGGTTAGGATCTCTGGGTATGTTGTTGAATAGAAGTGGTGAGAACTGAGGTCTTTGCCTTATTCTTGAACTTGGGGGGAAAGTGTTTTAGAGCATTCCTGCTACTATGACAAAATACCTTTGACTGGTTAATTTATAAACAACAGAAATTTATTGCTCAACCTTCTGGAGGCTGGGAAGTACAAGATCAAGGTGCCGACAGATTCTGTGTCTGGTGAGGGCCTGTTCCTCATGGAGAGCGCCTTCTTGCTGTGTCCTCATGTGGCAGAAGGGGAAATGAGCTCCCTTGAGCCTTATAAGGGCAGTAATTCCATTCATCTAATCACCTCCTAAGGGCCCCACCTCTTAACACTACCACAATGGGGATGAGGTTTTAACATGAATTTTGGAGGGAAACAAACATTTAGAACACAGCCGAAAACAGTCAATATTTCAACTTTAAGTATGATGTTAAGCTGTAGGTTTTTCACAGTTTTCCTTTATTGAGTTCAGGAAGTTCCCTTCTATTGCTAATTTGCTGAGTGAGAGTTTTTATCATGAATGGGTGTTGAATTTTGCCAAATGCTTTTTTTCTGCACCTGTTGAGATTGATCATATGGCTTTTCTCCTTTAATCTACGAATGCATAAAATTACATTGATTTTAGAGTGCTAAGCCAACCTTATATCTTAGAACAAGACCTACTTGGTCATGATATAGTCTCTCTTTCATCTATGGCTGGATTCAATTTGCTAATATTTTGTTTAGGATTTTTTGCATATGTTCATGAGGACTATTTATCTATAGTTTTTCTTCTTCTTCTTATTATCCTCCTCCTCCTCCTCCTCTTCTTCTTCTTCTTCTTGTAATGTCTTTATTTAAGTTTTGGTAACAAGTTTATCCTGGTC